TATATATATATATATGTAGAATTACTAAGGAAGAAACTTCTTTTAAGTGTCAAATTAATACCATGGATAGGTGTCAAATCTCTAAATAAGTGATTTATATTGACTGTTTTTATCTATCATATTTGATCATTAAGACAATTTTTTTCAAAATCTAGTATATATGACCTAACATGTTGGACCATTGAATTACTACTTATGAGTCTCTTTTTGATATTTTTTCTAAAACTATTTTATTTTATTTCTATAATTTTATTAATTTTATCATGTAATTACTAAAGTTAAAATTTATGAAATTATGTGGATATGTCATGTTACATTTGTATTTAAAACTTTTTATTTCTTTTCTTATCCTTTTTGTGTTATATATATAAAGGAAGAATCTATTTATTTTAGGAGTAAATTAATCTAAATTTTTTTTTTTACATTGTTGAATTAAAAAATTTTAATGTATAAATTAAGTTTCTAAATTTATAAAAAATTAAAATTATTTAATACTTTATTTTATTAATTCAAATTAATAGATAATTATAAAATTATTTTATACGCTAAGTAATTCCTTGTATATATGAGTAACTCTGCGTACTTGCATTTGAATCTCTTGGCAGAAGTGGAAAAGGTGAAAAATGGAAGCGGAAACAAGGAGGAGGAAGAAGTAGAAGCGATTGAAGGGGACAAGTTTCGCGAGTTAACAATGAAAGGAAAGTGGAAAGAAGTGACTGGCATATTGTTGGAAGAAAACAAGGCATTGTGCCGGATGAAGATCAACAAAAGCAGAGGCACCGTACTCCACGTGGCAGTGAACGAGGGGAAGGAAGAAGTGGTGAAGAGTGTGGTGAAAGCAATCACAGAGCACGACATGAGCAAGGCCTTTGAATCGAGGAACGAGAGAGGGGACACTCCTCTTCATCTTGCAGCAACGAGGGGGTTCAAGAATATGTGCGAGTTGATCATAGGAGAGAATAATGAGAGGAAGCATTTGGTTGAGATTCACAACAACGAGGGAGAGACACCACTGTTCCATGCTGCATTGTCGTGGCAGAAAGAAACGTTTGTGTATCTTTGTTCCTTGATGCCCCAAGGTGCTAACTATTGCAAAGATCTCGTACGGAACAATGGGGATAGTATTCTTCACTGTGCCATTCGGAGAGAATTCTTTGGTAACCTTTTCACTTTGCATATTTCATGCTTTGCTTCTCCCTCACTCATTTAAAACAATATTTCTTGCATGCAAAGCAACATACATGATTTTCACACTTCTTTTCATAAAACAAAATCCAATCAATAACACTTTTTACATTCTCAAATAAGTGGAAATTATTTCCTGTCACATTTCTTGGCCTCACGTTTCTCTTTGTTTAATGTGCTCATGATTTTCGGTGCTGTTTTCGCATGATGCAACAGATTTGGCACTTATAATAATGCACAAGTATCCCGAACTTAACGACGTTCAGAATAGAGAGGGATTCAGTCCTCTCAAACTTCTTGCCACTAGGCCCTCAGCCTTCAAAAGTGGAAGCAATCTGCGATGGTGGAAGACTATCCTATACCATTGTAAGTCCCAGAAGTTCTTACACTACAGTACACATGGTTATATACCACTCTAACATTAACATTTTTAGTTTGTTTAAGCATTTCAATCCTTCATCAATTTGAAACGATTTAGGTTTTATAAATGAAAAAAACTTAGGTACAACACTATTAAAGTTTCACATCAATATTATACATAAACGTATATTAACGATATTTGTCTTAATTATTGCAAATATATGTTATCAAAGTAAATTTTTAATTCTAACTGGAGAAAGTATCAATAATATTATTATAGTAAGTTATCTTCTTTATAAAATCAATCCTCTCATGCATGTTGAATTTAAACATGACAAAGTCATGATTAAGTTTTGTGATTATACTATATATATATAATTAATCTCTTCCCTAATATCAAACAAAATATATGCTACTTATTACCCATTTTGAATTCATTGTATTTCTCGTTAGCATTAGTTTTAAATGTATTTTGATTTATATTATTTTCTTCCTGGAGGTATATTTGCAGAAACTCTAAACGTGGAAAAAGCAGAGGAAATGTACAAAAAAGTGGATGAACCTGATCAAAACAATCAATTTCCAAGAAACTACGACACATGTTATCAGCTTTATGATCAATTTCTAAAGTTGATTAAGGAACTTGTTCTTCAAGTGCGACATCTTGCTGAAGTAATGAATTCTCTTTTAAATAAACTTGGTATGTGATTTGCATCCCATGTTATCTTTCTTGGTATAGATTTTTCTCCTTATTTGCTTCTTATTATTTTCTTAGATAAGAAAAACATATAGGTGGACTAGGAAACTCTTATTTTTTTTTATAAGGAAAATGAAATTGGAGAAATTCTATGTTAATTTTATAATTTAAGGGCTTTAATGATATTGTTATTGACAAAATTCTCTTATTTGGTGTGATCAAACCATGCACTTATTTACCAAGTATCATTCTAAGGGTAACATAACAACTCATGAAATTATTATAAGATGAATAAAGCTAATGATATATATGAATATAAGGTATGACAAGGGTTGACCAAAATGGTTTAACCTTAAACAAAAAAATTTGTTTAGATACAAGTTTAGAAGAACTTTTAAGAATTTCTCTTATTTCGATATGCCTAAAATTCTTACATTACTTAAGAATCAAAATTAAGGATAATTTATATATAAATACTTTCTCTTTTCAAATCCATCGAAACGTCTTTTCAAGAATAAAATCATGATGATTTAGTGAATGTCAAAATAAATAATATCTCAGATACAATAATTCTAATGAATTGATCTTAAAGATGTCAACGGACTTACGATAAAAAAATCTCTATTCTAATAGATAAATCCTCATAAACACTTCTAACTTATATCAAAATATGCTTTAATCAAAATTTATAAATGTGTAAGAATTTTAATGTGTGGGATATACTTTATCATTCCCTATTCGTATGAACTAACTCTATATATAATTATTTGTTTTATGCACCATATATAGATTTTAATTTGATGGTTAATACTATATAAGAAATCTATTTGAGATACCGCTGTTTGTTTCTTACCAATGAAAGCAAACTGCCTTTGAGACCTCTAATTTCTGCATCAGGAAACAAGAAAGTGGAACGAGAAGCTCAACAAAAACATCAACAATGTCAAATATCGATGCCAGAAGATTCAGTTCATGAGGTTGTTCCACCAAATTGTGTTACTTGTCTTCAGTTTGTGAGGCTTGCATACATTTATACTCTTGGCCTTTCGGGAGTAGGTATGCACGTTTGTCTCCTCTATATCTTAACAGAAAAAAATTTAGTCATGAAAATTAATTAAGTTGTCACAATGAGTATGAATAATTGGGTTTGATAGAAATTAAATTGTTAATATTAAACATTGTATGTCTACATTATCGATATATTTTTTTATTAATGTGTTAGTGAAATGTATTATTATATTATTAGTGTTTTTTTAATCCACATGAATCAAATTTGATAAGTATTGATTAAAGTTTAAAACATGAATTAAACCCTCTTGGTAAACACATATGTTTATGCTAACAGTTTAGATTTTGCTTAACAAAATGTATACCATGGTTTAGAAGCTTATCAACTATAACATTTTACCATTAGAATATAACATTTTTTTTTCTTTTTCAATGTCTTAGAATAATGGATTTTGAGTCTATTGGGTTTGGATTTTTTCTAATACACTCCTTTCACGTCTAATACTATTGAGTTTAGTACCTGGATAAATGGTCGTGGCCCTTTAGGATATATCATCTTAGATAAGTGAATTTAGACCTAATTTAACCCTACAAAACCGGTCTATAAAGTGAGGATATTACACCTTACTTATATATTATTTAATTATCTTATTTTTAATCGATGTGAGACTTGAATTTTTTTCTAATATAATATTCATTGCCTTTGTTACATGATTCAAACTTTGTAATAGTGTTCTTTTTCATATATTTTTTGTTTGTTTGTTAAGGGGTTGAAAATATTAAGAAGATGAAGCAAAAGCACGTATGGAGTAATCAACTTCTAAAAGAATTTATGAAAAACCCTAATGAGATGTATATGGGAAGTGGAGGTCCACCACCATCGGACGTCAGTACTTTTAAACCAGATTTCATTTCTTTCAACAAAGGTACGTATTCAGTTATTGATTTTGTTTGGATACTCTTTTTATTAAATACTTAAAGAAGAAAAAAAAATTACACGGAAAATGAATTAATAGCCTATTTGCTTTTTATCATCAAATACATTGTATGTCTACATCATCGATATATTTTATAATTTATATTAATGTATCAAATAAATAAATAAATATATATTAATTAGACAATTATGCTTGTACAGGACATTATCACCACCATGTTAGTGTAATGTATTATTATATTATTAGTGTTTTGTTTTAATCCACATTAATCAAATTTGATACTATATTGATTCAAGAGTTTACAACTATTCATGATAAACAAATGATGTTTACACTAACAGTTTAGTTTTTACTTAACAAAATGTATACCATGGTGTAGAAGCTTATCAACTATAACATTTTACCATTAGAATATAACATTTTTTCTGTTGCAATGTTCGCTTGCCTTTGTTACATATGATTCAAACATTTTAATAGTGTTCTTTTTCATATTTTTTTGTTTGTTTGTTAAGGGGTTGAAGACACTAAGAAGATGAAACAAAAGCTATGGAGTAATCAACTTCTAAAAGAATTTATGAATAACCTTTATGAGATGTATATGGGAAGTGGAAGTCCACCACCATCGGACGTGGGTACTTCTGAAACAGATTTCATTTCTTTCAACAAAGGTACGTATTCAATTATTGATTTTATTTGGATAATCTTTTTATTAAATACTTAAAAAAGAAGAAGAAAAATTACAGGAAAAATGAATTAATAGCCTATTTGCCTTTTTGATCATCATATATGATTGACACAAATTCTACTGAAGCAAATTATAGTATTATAATATATTTCACCTCAATTTTGTGAATTGGACATAAATATATATGCATGAAGATAATATATATATATATATATATATATATATATATATATCTCTCTCTCTCTATATATATATATATATATATATATATATATATATATATATTTGAGTTGACTTACGGTATATTTAAACTCAGTATCTTATATAAGATTCGGTATGGTAACTTTTGAATAAAAAAAATCATTTTTATTCCATCAAATTAAGAAATCAGTAAATCATATCCATAAAAAGATTTAATAAGAATTGTTTAAAATTTTACCATAAATATAAAATGTAATAAACTACTTATATATAATGTTAATGTGAGACCTGTAGAAAAAAAAGAGAGACGAGGTAATATTAATGTTGTGGGTGAATGTAGCAACTCACTGTTATTTTTTATTGAATAAGAGATGGCCTTTAAATAGCCATTTTACAACGTACTGAACTAACAAGAAGATAATAAAATATCTTATCAAATCAAAACTTATCAAAAAACCATCTTATCTAATCTGAAACAAAATAACACAAAAGATAAATCAAATAATTCCAGATAACTTAAATCGGATATCTCAGAATCTCTAGAAATTTAAGATTTTCCAACAAGACCTTCTAAAATAAATAATATATATGATTAAGCAATTTATATTGTATATAACTGCCAAAATCTTCTTATAAGTGTTAGCTAAAAAGGTTTAATTATTTAGTCTTGCATTTCCGATTTACTATTTTTCTCATTCAGGAATTTAGTTTGAAAAAAAAAATTCAAACAAACTCTTGGTTTCAATATTTATAGTTGAATAATGGCCTTATAATTTCCTTACAACATAACTTGTTGGAAAATCTAAAAATGCAACTTGCAGAAGATACTGATCCCAAAGAGAAGACAGTGGCTGCGAATATTGACACAGAGGAGACAGTGATTTTGGTGGCAGCGAAAAATGGCATAACTGAAATGGTGAATGAGCTTATAGATAAAATACCAAGTTCCGTACATGAAACTACCTCAAATAAGAAAAATGTGTTGCATGTAGCAGTGGAGAACAGGCAAACCCGTGTTGTTGAGGCATTAAGAAAAAAGTTTGGAGAGAAGGAAACCTTTATAAAATATTATTTCAAACAAATATCATAAAAATAATCCATCTATAAGTTTAGGTATTCCGTTCAAAGAATTATATATATATTAATTTGGACCTCACAATGACTTCATAAGTACATCTCTCATTTTGAGATGACAATCACCATTTCAGAGCAAGAGGAAATTATATTATGTAAGAAAGATTATGCAAGCTAGTTGTTCTACTTTTACGGTTTTGATAGTGCACTGCATAAATATGAAGGAAATAAAGCTCAGGGTTACTATTCACATTACCTTCAATCGTGGATATTTGGTCTTCATCATATTGTTGCTCTCTTTGAAAGAGAATGATCCAAAAAGAAACATGCTTTGCTTTTTTAAAGAAGTAATGATATTTTGTATATCCTATTTTGAAGTGTATGAGAAATTGATAAATATTTTAAGTGATGATATTATTGATGTAGAATATTTATGGAATTTTGCAAGTATTAATTTTTTTTATTGAAAATTTGATTATTTTTAGTGTGATTTTTTTAGTTAATCACTTTTTTTTTATTTATAAGATTTTATTTTAAAAAAATTGAAGTTAATGTAGCTGAAACCAACCATATGTCGGTAAAAATTAATAAATATATCACACATGATAAAATTAATAAATATTTCACAATGATAAAGTGGTTGGAAATGAAAGAAAAAATATTATAAAAAAATGGGTACATGGAAGTGGCATGGAAGAAAACTTATGGGATTAAATAAGTATTTGATCCCTTTAAATTGTCAAAATTTTTATTTTAGTATTTAATTTTATGTATTTTTATTTATCAATGCTAGTTTTATGGAGAAACTAAAAATAAGTAACAAAAGAACAAAAATTTAAACTTACATTATTTAATATTAACTAGTGAGAAAAAAAAGTATTATATGTTTTCATTTAATTATTCGCGTCAATATAATAGTGTGTGGTTATTATATACTATAAAAAGTTTTTAACCTTTCATATTCTTTATTTAATAACTTTTTATTTTTATTTAAAATGTTAAAATTGTTTGAAATAAAGTGTATAAGAAAGCAAAAAAATTCTCTTTATATATAGGTATAAATGAAAAATATAATAAGGAGTTGAAAATGAGAAGAAAAAAAAACTATAAAAACTGAAATTAAAAGTTTAAAATTTTAGAAGGACAAAAAGTTATTTAAAGCGAGATATAAGTGTATATATGTTTAGGAATTTTTTTTAAATACCACGTATATTCGAAATCCATTAGGAATTAATTTTAAAAAATATTTAAAAATTTAACTTGAGGTTGTATTTTAGAAAAATCAAACTCTTCAACATTTATTTAAAACAATTTTTAATATTTAAATAATTATTTTGAAACTCGATCATTTAAAAGGTTATTTTCAATTAACAATAATATTTATATATTGATAAAATATCAAAATCAAATTTATTATATTAAAATTCATATTTAAGATGATCAAATATTGGTTACCTTCATATTATTTATATTTTTAATTTGTATTAATATACCATTTAACATGTAATTTTTTTATGTATTTTTTTACAAAATAAAAATAAAAATAATTTAAAATAAAAATAAAAATAATTTTAAATAAGATAGAAAAATTAAAATTTAAAATAAGATATGAATTTATTAAAATTTATAAGTATAAAATATATTTAATATGAATACTTTTTAATAAAAATTAATAAAAATCGAGTCATGCGGTTCAACTAGTGATCCACCGATTTAACTTTTGACCAACTGATCCAGTACCTTAACCGGTTTGATGACCGGTCCGATTTTTAAAACTATGGTTTAATCTATTATTTTGTTAAGGATAATAGTTATAATTTAAAAAAAGTAATAATATTTTTGCTTTAAAAAAAATTGCATATCTAGCTTGTACCATATATGGAATAGTTAATCTAACATTTATAACTCTTTAAGTTGAACAGGACGATGATCTGGGTGAGATATAATTACATGGTTATGAACTTATGATCTTACATATTTTTTGGCCCAATTCTAATTATGACGAAAAGTCTCAAAATGTAATTTTTTTTATAATTATATTTTTTTATGAAATATTTATCGACTTTGTGAATATAATTAGTTTATGATAAAATTAATTAATCATCTTTAATAAAGTCTTCTTTTTCAACCATATTTTTTATTTATCTATATAACTCGAATAAGAAACTTTATTTAAAGAGATCAAATAAGTGATATTTCACCTATAGTGAATATCTCCTTGTGTGGAACTTGATAAAATAATATATATATATATATATATATATATATATATATATGTTGGGATATAAACAAGTCTCATATCGATAAAATAAGACAAGAAATAACAACTTATATAACACAAACATACTTCAATGATTGAAAGGTCTTTTGGATAATAACTTTATAAAAATAACCTTTATAAAATATTATTTCAAACAAATATCATAAAAATAATCCATCTATAAGTTTAGGTATTCCGTTCAAAGAATTATATATATATTAATTTGGACCTCACAATGACTTCATAAGTACATCTCTCATTTTGAGATGACAATCACCATTTCAGAGCAAGAGGAAATTATATTATGTAAGAAAGATTATGCAAGCTAGTTGTTCTACTTTTACGGTTTTGATAGTGCACTGCATAAATATGAAGGAAATAAAGCTCAGGGTTACTATTCACATTACCTTCAATCGTGGATATTTGGTCTTCATCATATTGTTGCTCTCTTTGAAAGAGAATGATCCAAAAAGAAACATGCTTTGCTTTTTTAAAGAAGTAATGATATTTTGTATATCCTATTTTGAAGTGTATGAGAAATTGATAAATATTTTAAGTGATGATATTATTGATGTAGAATATTTATGGAATTTTGCAAGTATTAATTTTTTTTATTGAAAATTTGATTATTTTTAGTGTGATTTTTTTAGTTAATCACTTTTTTTTTATTTATAAGATTTTATTTTAAAAAAATTGAAGTTAATGTAGCTGAAACCAACCATATGTCGGTAAAAATTAATAAATATATCACACATGATAAAATTAATAAATATTTCACAATGATAAAGTGGTTGGAAATGAAAGAAAAAATATTATAAAAAAATGGGTACATGGAAGTGGCATGGAAGAAAACTTATGGGATTAAATAAGTATTTGATCCCTTTAAATTGTCAAAATTTTTATTTTAGTATTTAATTTTATGTATTTTTATTTATCAATGCTAGTTTTATGGAGAAACTAAAAATAAGTAACAAAAGAACAAAAATTTAAACTTACATTATTTAATATTAACTAGTGAGAAAAAAAAGTATTATATGTTTTCATTTAATTATTCGCGTCAATATAATAGTGTATCTCGGATATCTCTAGAAATTTAAGATTATCCAACAACAAAGTTATGGGATAACCTAATTATTGGTGTAGATGACCAAGAAAACACTGTGTTACACATGGCAGCGTCACGAACCAATAAGGGTTGGATGATATCTGGTGCTGCCTTGCAAATGATGTGGCATATCAAATGGTTTCAGGTACATATATTTATGATAACAGCAACTTCAACTTTACCTTGTGCGACTTAGTATGTAATGCAAGAAGAATATATACTAACAGCACACTGTTTGAGATTTTTCTTGAGAGTTTAATTTCTATGTATTTTCATCATAGAAATTTTCACATTGTGAACTTGTCTAAATTTCTGATATATCCTATTAATATAAAAGTTAACAAACTTATTATATATAATAATTGTGATTAAATGATATGGTGTAAAAACCTTTTACATTATTAGTATATATACTATATTAATGAAACTGATTGGATAAACTTTTTCAGACGCACTTCTAAAAATTAAATAGGGATTAAAATTAAAATAAATTTTTTTATAAATTAAAACTAACTTATATATAGAAGTTAAAAATAAAAAAGATTTTCTTCCAAAACTTAGGAGAAATCTTCTACACATTAGCTTATACATAAACTAATTTTAATTTATATGAAAGTTCATTTTAATTTTTCTTCCTATTTATCTCTCTTATAAGTGGAGTTAAAATTTATCGAATAGATTCTTACTCTTTTTGTAAAATTTCATTATATTACAAACTATCATATATTATAAATTCATTAACTTTGATAATAATCATCCTAAAAGTCACACTAAAATTAATTTTGAAGTGTTATGTTGTGTATATCCATTAAACTCATTTATTATTAAAATTGATAAGAACTTTATTAAATGATACGAGTCTTTATCTTCAAATACTATTGTCTGTTCTAAAGATTTCAGACAGATTATTGTTGGTGCCATTTTCTCGTTTCTTTTTGCCATTCACTCGTCTGTTTTCATTATCATAGGCACACACTATCCAGTAATTGATTAGTTAACTAATCTGATATGGTTTTCAACAACATAAACATATTTTCACCCTTTGATTCTGACATGAAGCAGTACATAAAGGGGCTAGCGCCGGAGCATTTCACAATTAGAACCAACAAAGCGGAAAAAATCGCAGGTGAAATCTTCAAAGATTCACATAAATTACTCGTGAAAGATGCTAGTGAGTGGCTCAAGGACACATCAGAATCTTGCTCAGTTGTGGCAGCACTCCTTGCCGGAGTTTCCTTTGCTACATCGACCACTGTCCCTGGTGGTGTCAACACTGACACAGGTGATCCTGCATTAAAAGGAAGGCCTGCATTCCAGGCATTTGCACTGTTCTCATTGATGGGGCTATGCTTCTCCGTCACTGCCCTCGTAATGTTCCTGTCTATACTCACTTCTAGAAAAGAAATCAAAGACTTCAGAACAAGTTTGCCAGTTAAATTGCTTCTCGGCTTAAGTTCACTTTTCTTATCCATTACCGCATTGTTTGCAACTTTCTGCTCGGGCCATTTCTTTGTGATTGATGACAAATACAAACAGATTCTAATCCTCATTTATGCAGTCACTTGCATGCCTGTGACTTTCTATGCTATAGCCCAGTTTCCACTTTATGTTGATCTTGTGAGAGCCATTACAACGAAAGTGCCACTGGCAAGTGATAAGAGTACTGATTATTTATAGAAATGGTTCGGTTTGTTCTATTATTATGAGTGTAGCAAATTGAGAGTGTGACTTGTTCAAGTTATATTATCACAAATTGTGTCAATTGTTAGAACTGAGATTAATAATTATTTGTGCATGTTTAACCTTCATATTGTAATTTTTCTTTGGTTCCTCCTGTTTAATTGACAACTAGCCACCACAAAAATGTAAAAGAATTTTTGTGAAAAATATTCACATATATGTACACAACAAAGATCACGATCATCTAAAAAAAAAAAATACCAATAGTGATATATGAAGACTAGAACTAATGGGAAAAGCATATATATCAACAGTTTGGTGTGCAACTATTGGCCTAATCATAGGCTCATTGACCAACTTGGAACACTTTTAAAAATTATTTACGTAAATGGGATTGTTTTGAAACTATTTATACCTTTGGGACATTTTACAACAGGATCGCTATGGGACATAGCACCTTTACATAATATATTTTTTTAATGTAATTAATATAATATTTTATTAATAATATAATATTTTAATTAAGTGAAGGAAAAAAAAATAAAAACAAAACTTAATAAAAATAGAAGTTTAAAATAAAATAATTCAAAAAGAATTGATAAATTAAATATGGAAAATAAAATATAAAAATTGTTATTTAAAATAAAAAGAAAATATGTAAAAATAAATAAAAAGGCATGTATAGCGACATGTATTTTAATTTAATTTATTTTAATTTATATTTTGCATAATTATTGTATAAATTATTTTTAATATTTATTTTATAGTTTTATTTTTCTGCGTTTGATATTTAATATATTTTCATGTTTTCTAGATTTATTTGATTTAATTGGAAAAAAAAACACAGAAATAAGTATAAAATTTTATTATAAAAAAAATGATATCGTTATGGGCCATAGCGATACAGTGAGTGCATGGTCCATAGCGACATTTGCAATATATAAACACCCGCTGACAGTTACGTTTTGTTCACATTTAAAATCACAGCAATAAGTATAATAGGTGGAGCTCTGATTGAAATTTGTGAGTCAAATTTTGTTGTAGTTGAAATAAAAATTATAGCTATTTGTACTAATTATTTGTTTGTTTTTTTTTTAAGATATTATGAATCAAATTATAGCTTATATTTACACTAGAAAGATGTATGAAAGTTCTCAAGGTATAACATTTGATGGACCAACAAAAGGAATGTATATTAAACGAGGTATAACTTTAGATATATTAAAGAGAATGATTCACAACAAATTTGGTCTATTATTATGAGGATAGCAAATTGAGAGTGACTTGTTCAAGTTTATGTTATCACAAATTGTGTCAATTGTTAGAACTGAGATTATTTGTACATGTTTAACCTTCATATTGTAATTTTTCTTTGGTTCATCCTGTTTAATTGACAACTAGCCACCATAAAAATGTAAAAGAATTTTTGTGAAAAATACTGACATATATATGTACACAACAAAGATCACGATCATCTAAAAAATATACCAATAGTGAGATATGAGGGACTAGAACTAATGGGAAAAGCATATATATCAAGAGTTTGGTGTGCCTAGCATTCTCCCATATCACGTTCTTCATGCTAGAGTTCAAGGATCTTTCTATCCTGTCTCTTTTATCACCTTAATGGAAAAATATGTTTTAAATCTTATATAAAGAGTTGCATAGAAAAATGAATAATCAACCATAATTAAATAGGTGGAGAAAGTAATGCAATTTTCCAAATACTACAGTCAAAAATGAATCAACACTGACTCATTAAGCAAAGTACACAGTTCAGCTAAGTACCAAGGCTAGGTGTCCTGGTTGATACTGGAGGGCCATGAGAGTATCTCCACTGATCACAGGCTGAACAATTCTCCACCTTCACATTATTTTCCAACGTACAGAATTTGCAAGACCAGGTGTTGTATTTGGTACTAACATCTTTTGGCTGTTGCGTGCCACACAATTCACATATAGGAGCCAAACTCTGCAATGGTCCAGCATCATTCACATACATTAGAAAAGACATTATGCTATATGGCCATAGGTAGTGCTAATTATGTTTTAATTTAAGAGGAGTTTAATCTTCTAAAGTGAAAAAAATAGTTTACTTTCATGAGTAAATTCTACTGTAAAATAGTTTTATTATACTTTGTAACAATTGAAAAAATAAAGCCTGTAATGATGAATGCAGTATATTTGGATACACTTACTTTATTCAAAAGAGTGCACATCGTACACTCCCACATTCCAGATTCTTCAGAACGAAATGTTCTATTATCACCAGATAGTGGCCCAGACACACTTGACAAATTTGCTGAAGTAGATGCTGCGGGAGAATTGGATTGAGAATGTGGAATGCTTTCAGATTCACAGCATCTTCGTTTAGATCCAGTTTGATGCTCCATGACAGATCTAATTTTCGCTGAATCCATAGTCAAATCTACAAATTCAGCAGCACTAGATGATGAGTTAACAGGTAAACTTGAATCCATAGCCTGACTTCTTTTTCGAGATGACAGATTCGAAGGTAGAGTGGAATTATCTGCTAGTCTTGAGTTTCCCACATCTTTCCCCTTATGCACAATGTTCTCATCAACTTCATCATCAACATCCCTGTGATCCACATTTTCACAAGATTGAGAACCACACCATAGATCATCCTGTAATCTCCTTTCTGCAGCCATTGCAGCAGCTTGTACAGGAGTAAGTGCCTCCATTATAACACTATCACCACCTAGGCGTTTTGGTCCAGATGGAAGAAGAGATCCCAGTTGTGCTCTCTTTTCAGCAGCTTCCAGCGCTGTTTTGCGGAGGGAGGTAAGTGGAGGTTGCCGAGAATAGCCACCTAAACGCCTTCCTGGAAGATCAAACCCTTCTCCTGCGCCAGTTATTCCCTTAGCCATCAACTCTTCACATTCCTATGCATCATTAAAAACATTGATGCATATGAAGGACAAATAAACAAATGCAAGATGCATAATTTGTATAACTTGTTTAAGAATAAAAAAATCATTAAAAATCCACAGCTGTAAATAGATATTCAGAACAATCATAAGCAACAATAAACCAACTTTTCAATCATTATTCTAATAGAAATTCCCATTGTAAAATATTTTTTATTAAAAGTAAACACAATTCATCAAAGAGAATGTTATATGGAAAGGATCCTGTAAATGTCTGTCCTGTTACCAACATGAATTTTTTAGCATGAGCAGAAGATGAAGATAAATTACTAGGAAAATAAAGTTATCCTATTTCATTTCCTTTCTTATTTATTTATGCATTCATTTCTATTACTATTATTTTGTTAGTTAATAAAAATGCTCAAAAACCAATAGATTTCTCATCAATTAAAATTGACAATATGTGAATTTCAATAAGTACACGTAGCTCATAACAATTTGATCCTTACATAGAACACGAACCCTGACAATCAGATTCGTGTGATAATATCTTTCTGTGGAGCAAGAAAGAGAAAATCTTGAGGACTGAAGCAAAAAAAAATCCGATAAAAAATACACTTTACAGAAATATGACAAATAAACCCCTCATAAAACCCAGAAGCTATTTCTCTAAAGCAGAGAGAGTGCATTTCAAAAGGCAGGAAATCTAAATATCATTTTGCATAGATTAAAACAACATCAGAGGAACAAGGAAAACCTTTCTAAGCTCATCCCAGAGCTTGTAGAAGTTGGCATTATGAGGACCATGGGCATTATGGCAAAGCTCGTGAAGCATCGTATCTAGCACTTGATCAAACGGGTAAAAATCATAATCCCTGTTTGGTCTCCGTAGCCGCAACTTCACATGTATACCAGCTCCAACGTTCAACCCCAGAAGACGCGGGTTGCCCGGGCTACAATCATGCATACTAGTTCTTTAGCCATTCCACAAAAAAAGAAAATTCAAAATAATGAAACAACCAATATCAAAATTCATTTCATTTCCCAAATGGAAAAGCAATTTGTCATGTTTAAGCAAAAGCACAATTCAAACTATTCTCTTAAAGTTTTGATTAGACGAAATCAAAACCATAAATATGAAGGGGTAAAAAAAAAAAAGTCCGACTCTGCCAATGCACAATTAAAAAACTTTCAATAAAATCAACAATTACACAAACTAAAATGTTCCAAACACAGAAGCAGTTAATTTAGTACCAACATATCTTTAGTGATTAAAGTGGTGATTACTCCAAGATAAAAACTTTACTCACCCTAACTCCATTGTTTCAATTCCTCTTCATTACCCATCAACAAAACACCAAAGGCAAGTCATTTTTTTCAGTCCATACACCAACAAGAAGCAGTCCCATTCAAGTTCATCCGAGCATTTCAACAAATACAAAAGACAAACGAATGACATAATTAAAATTAAAAAAAAATACCAAAATTCAGAGAGAAGCTTGACCCTCCATTTGTGTTTGCGCATGATGGGTTGGACCTGTTTGGCGATCTTCTCCAACATTTTGGTGGCTTCATCTGCCGCGGGTTTCCTCTTCAGTGCTCTGATTTCCCAAACTTTGTTGAGGTCACCCACATTCATCGCCCAAAACCCTCAAATCCCAAACTTTATTAAAAAAATTGATAGAGACCAAACAGAATTGGGAATAGGAGAATCTGAAAACGACGATCGTGGATGGTGTCAGATCGCAGAGAATTTGAATCTGTGCGAAATCACGACCTAACCAAACCCTTTTCTCTTCCAAGCTTAACGCGCGAGTTTGGTGGGGTTTTGAAATTGTCGCACGTGTGGAGCGTCGTTTTCTTAAAATTATGAAGAAAAAATGTATTTTTTATATTATGAAGGTATATCTTTACCAAAAAAAAAAAAAGCCTTTACCAAAAAAATATTATGAAGGTATATATGATTAGGAATTATGACATCATTTTAATTAATTGAATTTAGGTTAAAACCTTTATTTGATCTCTTATAATATTTTTTTGTTTCAATTTAGTCTCACTTTAATTTTTTGTTTTAATTTAGTTTAATAATTTAAATTATTACAATTTGGTACTTCCGTCCAAATGATTTAAACGGAGTTAACTGTTGGTCACGTGGATGTCAGGTGGATGCCACGTAGATCCCACGTAGATGCCACGTAGATAAATGCCAAATTTCTCGAATATACTTAGAACTAGAACGGGTCGTTCTGGTTATATTATTAATGTGTAAATTTTGGAATTGGAACGGGCCGTCTGAATCTAGAACGGCCCGTTCTAACACTAGAACGGCCCGTTCCAATTACAAAATTAACACATATCATGTGCATGCAGAACGGGCGTTCTGGATTCAGAACGGACCGTTCTGGTTTCAGAACGGACCGTTCTAATTCCAGGTGTATTCATGAAATTTGGCATCTACCTATGCATCCACATGGCATCCTGGCATCCACGTGACCAACAGTTAACTCCGTTTAAATTATTTGGACGGAAGTCTCAAATTGTAATAATTTAAATTATTAGGGACCAAATTGAAACCAAAAATTAAAGTGGGACTAAATTAAAACAAAAAATATTATAAGAGACCAAATAAGGGTTTGAACCTTGAATTTATTTTTAAAATAATGATATTTATTTGTTTAATTAAAATAAGAGTGGGAAGAATTTCTTGATGCACAAACCTACACCACATCATTACTCCATTAATAAACATAAAGATAAAGGAATGCATATAGATAAAATTTTATTCACAAAAATAAAAACATGAGAAAATCAATATTCATATTTCTCAAATAAATTAGGAAAATTATATACCAAAAATAATATTTAAAATTAAAAGACGCCACCCATTACACTATTTACTATTTTGAGTAAATGTTATGCGTGTCTCACTCATGAGTCATGACTGAACAACCGGCACTCATTCATTTCTCATTTTCTTTGTCTAATAATAGGATTAATGCTTAAGAGCACATCCAGCGACGTTTTTTATTTGTTTTTATATTTAGTTTCTTTGATCAAATGAATGGTGTCTGTCAAAAGATTTATTTTTCTATCAATTTAATTACCCTTAGGCTTCAGATTAGAATTGCATTGCATCTCATACAGTTACTATAATATAAAACAATGGATTGTGTTATACAAAATATTCACCAAAATACAAAATATGGTGGTTATTTTTTATTTATAAGATATAGATATTATTTATTAATTATAATTTTTTTATTATGTAATTTCTTTTTTATTCATATTTATATATTATTCAAAATAATTAATTTTATAAAAAATTATCATAAAGTGTAGTGTAAGGTGTCAAAAAGTGTAATATGAGTTGTAAAAAAGTAGGAGTATTTATAAGTAATTTCCATTGAAGCAAAAATTATAAAAATATAATATAAATTGCTTATGAGTGACGTAGTACAGAGACTCATTTAAAGTGGTTGGGAGTTACTTATAAGCAACTCCCATTATAGATGCTTAAAATAAAACTCAATTAATGATAATATGTTAAGAATAAATTGTGTAAAGAGTATTGAAAGCATTTTTTCAAATAAATGGAAAATTAACAAATTAAATTATATCATGAAAGTACTGTTTTTTTTTTCTTCAAGACATCATCAGGTAGGTAAACTGAAAATGATATATATTGATGTTGCTTAACAACTGAGCACTTCCATATTACAAGTTAGATTTAGAATGTTGTTGTCTTCTTTTTTTAAAAAAAAAATCAAATCCCCTAATTAGAAGCTAAGAATTAATCTTTCCAAATACTAATATTTATTTAAAATATCAATCTCTTCCAACAAATATTTTTCTATACACAATATTTAGAAACTGAATTCTAACAAAGTATTTAAGAGGCAATAAATATTTTTCAGATATTTTATTTCACGCTGAAATTTTGATTTTGAATTGAAACAATTTTATTTAACTTTTTAACTGAATAAAAAATATTATACTGAGATTTAATTAACTTGTTTTTAGAATTAAAAATTCTTTAAAAAAATCAAATCATTTCAAAGTCAATTTTAACTAAAATTATTTTCAATTTCACGTTGAATTGAAAACTTTATTTTGAATTTTCTTATTTTGTTAACCCCAGTCAAACACAAACCAAAAAAATTGGAGATATTTTTTCAATTTAAAAATATTACAATATAATGTAACGATCATTTATCAAACACAAAATTCTAATCTTTAGATTTCATAAACTTTTAATCTCAACGATATACTTATTTGGGACAAGTATATGGAGACTTTCACTTTGTATATGATCACATATCCATGAAAGTATTGTGCATAGTGATATGATTATAGTTGTACCCGTTTAAGGACACATTCGTAATCTTCTAGTAGTTCTGAAGGCCGAACGAGAGCTCTAGATAGATGTTTCGAAGAAGGAGGGTACCTGTAAAAGACACTCCGACGCTCAAGTCAAGACAAGCACGAATCTCGATGGTAATAAATGAATAGTCACGTGCCCTTTCACGTGGTCGATGCGATATTCCCAGTACAATAGTTATAATATCAACCATATATATACTTATTCGGGACAAATATATGGAGATTTTCACTCGATGTATAATCACAAGTCCATGAAAACTATTGTGGATAGCAATATGATTAACATTGTTTAGGAGCTTATTTAGATATAAATTAAAAATATTTTTTAGATTTTTTTTTTTTACTAAAAGTAAAGATTATTTTTTAATAAAAAAATCCTAAAGAAATATTTTTAAATTTGTATTCAAATAAACTCTAATTCTTATCAACGCGACAATTTTTTTATCTTATAATTTTATGCGATTGATCTCTCTCCCTCCCTCTCCCAATTGTTTATCGATTTAGATTAAGTATGATTAGTAAACATCATTTTAACCATGACACTACAAATGAAACTAGCAAACATAAAATAAATGTAGTCACAAGATACTTTAAGGTAAAATGGAAAGTTTCATAAATTCAACATTTAGCAGGTTGTTATTTCAAATTGCTAGTTCAATATCAAAAGAATTAACAAGCACACTATTGTTTCCTTGTCGCTAGCTAGTTCACCAAAATTTGTTTAATTGTTAGAACATGATTAGACTATTGGTTTGTCTAATAGTGAAGGTGTTTGAATTGGAATTGCTAGGGAGAAACTGATACAACAGAGACAATTTTTTTATTGGCAATGCGTGTCAAGGATAATTAAAATTAGTGGTGGTCACTTGGATACATTCTAAAGCGTTCAAGCCAATATATGATAAGGGGAGTGAGTAATGAAAATTCAAATAATACTCAGTGGCGCATAGCTTTTGAATAGCCTTCATTTGGTGGGAAAAATTGTTAACCGTGTGACAGTTTGTTACACAAGCACGTGGATGTACTCATAACTAAGCAATCTAATCATTGGCCTATACAGGTTATGACTTTAATTATGTATTTGATTGGACTATTTTAAAGTACCACTAGACACATATTATGTATTTGTACTTAGAATACATTTGTTGGTTCTATTATTTCTATCTTGAAAATTTTCACAATGTATGAATACATTATATGTGCTAATTGTTTTTATTTTCCTTAGATTTTTGCCATTTTTTTTAAATGTATAGTATAATTTAGCATGTGTAATTCTTACTATTTTTTCTTTTCTATTGTAAAATAACTACATGGTCGAGCTGAATGAAACTTTAGTTTCTAACATAGCAGAACATCTAGTTGAGCAAATATATTGCCTTGTGACTCTCAAGGGCACAAGAACCGGTCTAATGTATGAAATCACTTCATTGAGGAAGCCCAACATAAATAAAAGGCTAAATGTAACCATTGTGATACATTAATCAGGTTTGAGAATGAAACAAATGTTATGTGAAATCATGTACATAGATGCAAGGGTTTATTGAATAAAAAGGTGAGCAAAAAGACAACATTAGATTTATCTGGAACCATGGTTTCTTCTTCTTCCTTGGCAAGGCCCAAAATTGACCAACAAGCATGCAAAATTGCAATCGTTAAAATGTTTGCGACAATGGTGTTCTTCTTTTGATGAATCGAGCATGAAGCTTTTCATGAGTTTTGAGTATTGTAATACCCTCTCTTATTGTCTTTTCACATACTATTCTAGCTTGTGATATTTTTTAACTTTGGGACAGTGAAAGAGAAAAGTTGCAAAATTTTCTTTCTTAATACTGTCAAAGGGCTTGCCTCACCATAGACACATGGGCTTCATCTCAAAATTTGAGTTATATGTGCTTAACTACTCATTTCTTGACAATTGGAAGTTATAAAAGAAGATGTTAAACTTTTATCAAGTCACTAATCACATAAGAAAAATCATAGCTAAGAAGGTTGAACATTGCTTGAGTAAATGGGTGTTGAATCGTGTTCATACTTTGATGATTGATAACACCTCATCAAATGATGTTGGAATCTAATATAAAAAAAGGCTAATGTCTTGGAATAGTTTAGTTATGAAGGGAGATTATATTCACATGCATTGTTGTGTGCACATTCTAAATTTGATTGTGAAAAAAGGTTTTAAAGATAACATTGATGTTATTTTGAGAATTTGTGGTGTTGTGAAATATATACGATCTTCTCCTACTAGGTTGTCTAAATTCAGGACATGTAATGTGTTGAGCAACAAAATATTGAATATAAAAGTCTTGTTTGCTTTGATGTGGAACTAGATGGAATTCCACCTAAATGATGTTAGAGGTTGCATTGAAACTTCACAAGGCTTTTGAAGAGCTCGAGAAAAGGTAAATAGTGTTCCTCCATATGGTGATTGGGGAACTC